ACAGTTCACAGCAACCTCCAACTCCTAGGTTTAGACGATTCTCTTTCCTTAGTCTCCCAAGTAGCTGAGACTATAGGCGCCCACCACAATGCCCAGCTATTTTTAGAGACAGGGTCTTGATCTGGCTCAAGCTGATCTCCAACCTTTGAGCTCAGTAATCCACCTGCCTCAGCCTCCTAGAGTGCCTAGATTACAGGCGTGAGCCACTGTGCCCAGCTGTTATAACTTCTTTACTTCTTAGTTTTCTAAGTGTTACACATCAGCTTCTACACATGCCCTTTTCTTTGAAACCTCATGATGCTGTACTTCAGGAGTAACTAAACTGCTAGGGTGACTCCTTGTCCAATTCTTTTGTTCCACCGGCATAGCAAAAACCTAATTGCAGCTTAATGGAGTTCTCTATTACCCATTCTCTTAGCACAGAATTTCTTATCCTTGGCATTACTGACATTTTGGCCTGGATGATTCTTTGTTGTGAGGCTTGTCCTGTGCATGGGTACATGTTTAGTGGCATCCTTGGCCGCTACCCACTAGATACCAGTAGCATAACACTTGTAGTTGTGACAGTTAGGCCAGGTGCAATGGTTCATGCCTGTAATCCTAGTACCCCGGGAAGCCAAGGCAGAAGGATCACTTGAGCTTAGAGGAGTCAAAGACCAGCCTGAGCAAGAGCAAGACTCTGCGTTGACTGAAAATAGAAAAATTAGCTAGGTGTTATGGCAGGTGCCTATAGTCCCATCTACTTGGAAGGCTGAGGTGAGAGGATTGCTTGAGTTCAGGAGTTTAAGACCAGCTTGGGTAACATAGCAAAACCCTATCTCTTAAAAACATTATTTTATCAGCCCCGTGTGGTGGTATGTACCTATAGTCCCAACTACTCAGGAGGCTGAGGCAGGACAACTGGTTGAGCCCAGGAGTTTGAGGCTGCAGTTAGCTATGATGATTCCACAGCACTCTACCCATGGTGACATTGCTAGATGTTTCTGTTGGGGCACTGGGGAGAGAGTGTGTGTACAAAATCCCTGATTGGCTCTGCACCTGTAGTTCAGTGGCTTGGGTGCTAGCCACATACAGCAGAGTAGGTTCGAATCCAGCCTAGGCCTGCCAAAGAACAATGACAACTAAACCAAAAAATAGCTGGGCATTGTGGTGGGCGCCTATAGTCCCAGCTACTTAGAAGGTTGAGGCAAGAGAATCGCTTAAGTTCAAGAGTTTGAGGTTGTACTGATTGAGAACCACTGTTCTGGTTGAAAAGCCACAAATCATTACAGAATGACTCGGTGATAAAAAATCTAGCTGTACCCATAACCACTACATAGCAGTTTTTTTGTTTTTTTTTTTTTGAGACAGAGCCTTAAGCTGTCACCCTGAGTAGAGTGCAATGACATCACAGCTCACAGCAACCTCCAACTCCTGGGCTCAAGCGAGTCTCCTGCCTCCACCTCCCAAGTGGCTGGGACTACAGGCGCCCGCCACAACGCCTGGCTATTTTTTGGTTGCAGCAATTGTTGTTGTTTGGCGGGCCCAGGCTGGATTTGAACCCGCCAGCTCGGGTGTATGTGGCTGGTGCCTTAGCCGCTCGAGTCACAGGCACCGAGCCTACATAGCAGTTTTGTAACTTTGCCCTCTCCCTCTACATCTGTGTCATACCTTACCCTCTATCCTACAGCCTTTTCTTAGCCCTCCTCTCTCAACAGGTAGTCTTGCTTCCTTGTTTCCATTGTCATATGCAGATTCCTTTCCTGCCCAGCCACACACAGTTACGTATATCTATATCTACTACTTTCTTTTTTTAATTTTTAAAATATTTATTTATTTCATTTTTGGCAACTCTTCTTTCTTGCTTGCTTTTTTCTAAGACAGTCTTACTCTGTTGCCTCAGGCTAGAATGCCGTGGCCTTATAGCAACCTCAAACTCCAGGGCTTAAGCCAGTGGTTATTCAACCTTCCTAATGCCACGACCGTTTAATACAGTTCCTCATTTTGTTGTGCCCCCAGCCATAAAATTATTTTCATCACTTCCTAACTGTAATTTTGCTACTGTTATGAATTGTAATGTAAATATCTGATATGCAGGAGGGTTATTCAACCCCCTGGAGTCGTGACCCACAGGTTGAGAACTGCTGACTTGAGCAATTCTCTTGCCTCAGCTTCCCAAGTAACTGGGACTATAGGCATACACCATAATGCCCAGCTGACTTTTCTATTTTTTCTTAGTAGAGACAGGGTATCACTCTTGCTCAGGCTGGTCTTAAACTCCTGAGCTCAAGTGATCCACCTGCCTTGGCCTCTCAGAGTGCTAGGATAATAGGTGTGAGTGACCATCCTAGTCTATAATTCTTATTGCTTCTTATAGCTTCAGGAATAAGTTGTTGTGTTTGCCTATTCAAAGCAGATTGATCCAATACTTACTCTGGCCCTCATCTCTTTTTCTTCCTTAGAAACTCTGCTCCATCATTTCTCTCCCCTTTCTGTTGTATTTTTAACCTGTTGCTTGATGTTAGTTTTTTTCTCCCCAGTATAGAAATGTACTTAACTGGCTCGGTCCCCATAGCACAGTGGTTACAGCGCCAGCCACATACACTGAAGGTGGCGGGTTGGAACCTGGCCCAGGCTAGCTAAACAACAATGACAGCAACAACACAAATTGCCAGGCGTTGTGGCGGGCACCTATAGTCCCAGCTACTTGGGAAGCTGAGGCAAGAGAATGGCTCGAAAAAAAAATGAAAAAAAAGAAATGTCCTTAACTTTCTTTCTCAACTTAAAAGAAAAATAAGCTGAGTATGGTGGCTAACACGTATAATCCAAGCTATTAGGAGGCTGAGGTAGGAGGATCACTTGAGCCCAGGAGTTCAAGTTCAAGGCTACAGTGAACTATCATTTCACTCTTAAAGAAAAAAAAAAAAAAAGAGTTGGCTTGGCACCAGTAGCTCAAGTGGATAAGGCGCCAGCTACATACACCAGAGCTGGTGGGTTCAAATCCAGCCCGAGCCTGCCAAACAACCATGACAACTACAACCAAAAAACAGCCAGGTGTTGTGGCGGGTGCCTGTGGTGCCAGCTACTTGGGAGACTGACGCTAGAGAATCACTTAAGCCCAGGAGCTGGAGGTTGTTGTGAGCTGTGACACTATGGCACTCTACCCAGGGCAACAGTTTGAGGCTTATCTCAAAAAAAAAAAAAAAAGTTGTTAAAAGGGAAAAGCACAACTAAAGAAGGTTTTATTTTCTTTTGTTTTTTTTCTTTTCTTTTTTGAGACAGAGCCTCAAGCTGAGCCCCTGGGTAGAGTACCCTGGCTTCACTGCTCACAGCAACCTCCAACTCCTGGGCTCAAGCAGGTCTCCTGCCTCAGCCTCCCAAGTAGTTGGGATTACAGGAGCCTGCCACAACGCCCGGCCATTCTTTGGTTGCAGCCATCGTTGTTTGGCGGAAACGGGCTGGATTCGAACCCACCACCTTAGGTATATGTGGCTGGCGCCTTAGCCACTTGAGCCACAGGTGCCGAGCCTCTTTTGTTTTTTTTCTTTCTGAGACAGTATTACTCTGACACCCTGGGTAGAATGCTATAGTTGTCCCCATAGCTCAAAGCAACCTCAAACTCCTGGGCTCAAGCAATCCTCTTGCCTTGGCCTCCTGAGTAGCTGAGACTACAGGTGTGCACCACAACACCTGGCTAAGTTTTCCATTTTCAGTAGAGATAGGTCTCGCCTCTTGCTCAGGCTGGTCTCAAACTGGTGAGCTCAAGCAATAGATTACAGGTGTGACCTGCTATGCCTGGCCAGCATCCAGTCTCCTTCCAGTCTGCTTCACATTTTTCACTCCG